TCACCTATAGCGAAACTCGCTGACACACGCGCGCAGGTGTCTGCTCGATCGACCACAAGAAACTAGCCCTCCATCCAGCTCTTTTTTGCATGATTTTTTAGATTCGAGACGGTATAACCCGGTTGATTGTATTATTAATGTAGGTTTTAAATCTGAAAAACAATATTTATTGATATTTATTTTAAATCGTAAAGTGTCACTTCCCACCCAGTTTCGAGCTGCAGGTAAGTCTCTCGCAAGCAACCACCCTGTACGTTACTTCCTGTAGACACGATACATAGGTGTGACGTGGGAAAACCAGTATCTCTATAAATAAAGCAGTAAACATGATAAAAAAAAAAAAAAAAATCATTTGTGTCTTATTTGCTATCAATCTACTAACGCATGTATTATAAACTCTTAAAAATAATGTTGCAAAGGTGTTTAACCTTCAGAAAATGTTGGTAATAAAATAAAATAAAATATGCCTGAATGAATGTCAGGGTTGCAAATGTAGCCTGAATTATTATTATTATACGACTATATTGATATTTTGTCTAAATTCGTGCAACAGTTGGTCTCCCATAAATTTAAGTAGGCCTATTTGTTTGTTCATCTTTAAAATTATTATTATAATTATTACTAGGGCTAACAAATGCAGTCAACACAACAATTGGTTTAAAACGACAAAAAATGGAATGAGATTTTCAAGTTCAATACGTCTGAAAAGTTAATTATCACAGTGAAATGATGATGGTGATGGACAGACTTTATACTTTATAAACATACACCTAAAGGATTATTAGGAACACCATACTAATACTGTGTTTGACCCCCTTTCGCCTTCAGAACTGCCTTAATTCTACGTGGCATTGATTCAACAAGGTGCTGATAGGATATTGATAGGATATGGATAGGATAGCATCTCGCAGTTAATGAGCAAAGCTTTAGGTGAGTGTAAGTAAAGAGACACAAGACAGCAGCAGGAACACCCAAAAGATCAACATTAAAACCTTCTCATTAAAGCTCATTAATTATTTAAATCTTCGCCATTTTAGACCTCTGGCACTTGCCATCATTATGGGGGAAAACAAGGCTTCTCTTTCGTCATGTTATCCCTTGATAATCAGTGTTGTTGAGGATAAACTGGAACACTGAACAATGAACAATTGTATTTTTATTAACTAACGCGAAGAAAGATGAATAAATATTGTTACAAGTCATATTGATCATTATACGTTATTGTACTGTACACTCTCTGTACACAAGTCTCATAATAAGGAATCTTTTTGTACCTTACTCCTGGGTGCATATAAAGTGGATATTACCTAAATGGTATATGTTAGTATCTTTTTAAATGGTAGTCCCTTACGGAAAAAAAATATATGGGAATATAAAATAATCGTATATATTACATAATTTCCAAATGGGAAAATAGTGCTTATATTTTTCAATATCAATGACCATGTAGGGCTATTTATATAGGCCTATTCATAAATGAAGACAAAAATAGCATTACATGTAATATTCACAAAGGTTTATCCTTTATTGTGTACATATTATATGTGTACATATACAACGGATTTCTAGTTCCCAACATGCTTTGCTTCTGACTGTTAAAGGAAGGCAAATGTTAAAATTAAGTGTTATTCGATGTTTCTTTGCTCAATATTAAAATACGGGGATCAAATATTGAAGCATGGTCAAAGGTGACGCCTTGGGGTGAGAATGCGTTGTGGATATCTATCCCTCCAGGGTTTCTTGGCCTGAAAAAGGTTGAAGACCCCTGAGCAACAGATTATGGGTAAATGTGTACAAACCACTGGCGACGGGTTGTTTATACATTGTCAATCTTTATTTTGTGTGTCTTTGTTTTGATGCGCTCACACTCGAAGACTGTTCTTCCCCAAGGAAGCCATGTTTTCACAAAAACAACACACTTGATAGACAGAAGAATCATAAATTATTAATACATGTCATAATGAGGAGTTCAGGGAGCAATTTAGGGCAGACTGGATTAACTGTGCTCATGCTTTCTGTGCTTCTATCAGTATAGGCCCAAAGTATATAATGTTATACTGTTATATAAATGTACTATTTAGTATTTAGTATAGCTGATGTAAAAGCAAAACAATGTTTCCCCTATAACTTTACCAAAAGATGAGTCAATGTTCTCAGTCATGCCATTTTGTAGCATTTATTTTATATGTATTTATTTATAAATCCAAAATATCTGGATATCTGGATGTCTCCTAATATTAATTTGGCAGCATTTATTGTCTGCATGGAGCTCTAGTGTGTTGAACAACCTTCTAAATTAGAAAATATTTGTAACTTTTCATTAAATGTATAAATAATAAATTGGCCTGCTAAAAATGTGCTTTAAATTCTTAGTTTCTTGTCTTACAGTTTTGTGAGGCGATTTACAGAACCAGATATGATGAATGAAGACCCGAGCCAGAATCATAATAAATTAAAGAAAGGTTTAACTGAAGATAGTTTGCAGTTTCCTCAGCAAAGTCAGCTTCAAGACCTGCACAAGGAATTTGTAGGCCACCCCACTTCAGTTACAAAGATTACAGCACTTATACTCGCACCAAGATCTAAACTACGTCCTTGCTTCAGGTTGAATGATTCTGATTGGCTAAGAAAATAGACAAAAAGCAATTTTCCACACATAAACAGTTCCACACATAAACAAAAGACTGGAGCATATCTCCATCGATTATGCCAGCCCATTCTCACCCCCAAGGCGTCACCTAACTGACCATGCTTCAATATCTGACGCTTTAGGCGCCCTTTAGCGTCAGTTAGATGACGCCCTAGGATCGCGTGTACCCTACCCCCACCCCAGACCTAAACCTAACCGCGTCCTCTAACTGACGCTTTCCTTTAGCGTCAGTTAGATGACGTCGTAGGATCGCGTCATTTAAGTGACGCTAAAGGGCGCCTAAAACGCCAAATATTGAAGCATGGTCAAAGGTGACGCCTTGGGGTGAGAATGCGTTGATTATGCAGCTGACACTCGGACTCTCAGCCCATTCTCATCCCCAAGGCGTCACTTAACTGATGCCTTGGGAAGCATTTGGACATGCTTCAATATCTGACGCTTTAGGCGCCCTTTAGCGTCAGTTAGATGACGCCCTAGGATCGCGTGTACCCTACCCCCACCCCACACCTAAACCTAACCGCGTCCTCTAACTGACGCTTTCTTTTAGCGTCAGTTAGATGACGCCGTAGGATCGCATCATGTAAGTGACGCTAAAGGGCGCCTAAAACGTCAAATATTGAAGCATGGTCAAAGGTGACGCCTTGGGGTGAGAATGCGTTGGGACTCTGAAGTTAGGCACATTGCGACCTTCCAGGTTGCGGGTTGCTGTATACGTGCGCCAGCCTGTCTAGAACAACAACTCAGAGTCAGTCTTCAATAATGCCAGTGGTTCCATAACCTGTAACCAGAAAAACGAATACAACCTTTCTTAAACACAAAACGAGTCGACATTTTGTCCCCTTGGAATTATAAGGTTCTATCTGACATTTTTGTCAAAATTGAGTTATTCACATATTCTTATTCTGTGACAATTTATTTACATTATGTGATGTGTTTTGTACATTTAGGGTCCCTGTTATTTTTATGTTTGAAAGAAACTTGTTCCCCATACACATTTTCCTATATGGAATGCAAAAACTTTGAAGCTCAATATCTCAAAACTGTTCAGAACGCAGATAGAACCTTATAATTCCAAGGGGACGATTTCGTGAAGCCGGGCTAAATGAGCAAGCACTGTATTGTTTCTTAAGAGCAGAGATTTGTAGAAATGTTTTTAAAATAAAAAAATACAAAATACTGTGTGGAAATAAATACAAATACAGTATTTTGTATTTTGAAAAAAATACATGTGGGATTGGTCATTCAGTTTTTAAAATGTTCCAGTACTAATGCATTCTGCTTACTCTATACATGGCATGTTGTAATAAAAAGGTTTCGACTTCATACATTTTACAACTGTTTCCAGGTTTGACTAAATGATTGTTGTGTCTTAAACCTTTTAATGCCCTCAAGTATATAGCAAATATCAGATCAACCTTTGGCAAAAATATGTTGAGGACTAAAAGGGTCAGTAAAAAAAACACACATGTATTTCAAATTTCAATATCATTTTCCGATTTAATTGTCATGCTTTTTTTAATTAATTTTATATTCATGTTCTAAATAATGGTTATTGTCAAGTTTCTGCATGCCTTCTGAAACTACACATTGTCATTTGCACAAGGGGGAAAAAGTAATAAAAAAATAAAAAAAAAATAATATTGTGAAAATAAACACATAGCCTATAGTTTTACAGTGATCCTAAAATAGTTCAGCATTGATTTGTTGATTCTGTCTTTGAGCTTGCTCACAATATATTCTCCAGTCCAAACAAACCTGTATAATGTCCATTAGCTGCTATTTTTAATGTATTTTATTTAATCTAAGAGGGATGACAATATAGTAGCAGAGAGGGTCTTACATTTCTGCCCACTCATTTAAATCTGAACGCATCAGAGATTTTCATCATGTCAATTACAAACCTATAGTCAATAAACATTTTACAGCGTATTGCAAGAAAGTGGCGTTCACATTCACATGGACCACGCAGTGTGGTCAGTACGGGCCTTTCTCCTCATCTCCTGTTATCCCATTCCCATCACACACACGTGCACTCTTTTAAAATGTGCACGAATGCTGCTTAACTGCATGATCACATGAAGCGCTTTCTCAGAAAAAAAGTGACCAGAAAGCAGGGTTTTGTAAAATGGAAGCTGCATGGGTTCTATTTTATTCCTATTAAACTTTTCACTCATTTTACTGGTTATACAAAATGACTAATTTATTGAATAAAAAATGGTATCCTACATGCCACATCCAACATGCCATCCCTCCCACCCAATGGCATGTAGGATACCCATGTGGTTCTGTCTGCCTCTGTTTAACATCTATATAAGTTCAGGAGCAGTGTGTGTGGAATCTGCAGCTGGAGCAGATGGAAGGTTGATATTCACAGAAAGACAGGTCTGTTGTGTCCTATGCAAACTTTTGAAAATATTCATCATCAACAGATGCAGAAAGATTGCATCAAACTGCATTGATCTTTAGTACTGTATATTGAAATATGTCTTGGTTCACTGTTTCTTGTATTTCAGCTTATGGCAGCGTCCAATGGCACAGCTGGGGATGTGTCTGTCACTTATCAGCTAATCTTTGCTCAAGACATGGATGCTGGGCTCAGTACTAAAACTGCAGTGTCTGTGTTAACATCTCTGTTCTTCATTTTTGTAAACTGTGTGATGCTCTTTGCTCTAGGAAGCAAGCGTGTGTTCCATGAGACGCCGCGTTATATACTTTTTGGCCACATGCTTATGAATGACTCTGTGCTTTTGCTGGTCTCAATCTTATTGTATACACTGGCTCAGCGTTTCCTTCCAATACCCAAATCCATATGCACTCTGTTAGTGTTGATCTCCCACTGCACTTTCCGTAACGCTCCTCTGACTCTCGCACTGATGTCTCTGGAGCGGTACGTGGCGATCTGCTTCCCTCTGAGACACTGCAACATCGCCACACCAAAAAGGACTGGGATCGCCATAGGAATCATCTGGTTGCTTAGTTCTATAAATATTATAACTGACATTATATTTGTTTTAACTGTCAACCCCAGTTATTTAGTTGGTATTATATTATGCTCATCAGAAACATTGTTTCTATTCAAATGGCAGCTGGATAAATATCAAGGGTTTGATGTTCTTTATTTTGTGTCGGTTGCAGTGATCATCATTTTCACATACATTAGCATTATGATCACTGCTCGGTCTGTTTCCTCTGATAAAGATTCAGCTAAAAAAGCCCTCAGAACGGTGCTGTTGCACTTGATTCAGCTGTGTCTGTGTCTCACCTCTTTCTTGTATGTTACAATAGAAAGAACACTGTACATAATGACTGGAACCAACTCTTCTCTCTTCAGAAATCTCAGATATCTCAATTTTCTTATTATTCTCATTCTACCACGTTGCCTGAGTCCTCTGATCTACGGTATGAGAGATGAAGCAGTGTGGCCCTTGTTCAAATATTTTTTCTGTTATCGTTCAGGAAAAGTAAAGCCCTCTGTTAATGTACATTAATGTTTTTTTTTTTTGACAAATGGTTATATCCAATATTGTGGCGCACAAGTTGCAAACACCTTAAATATAATAATTGCAATGTTTAAACTTGTTCATCAAACTCTCAGATGAAATTACCTGACTGTTATCTGGGTGAGTAATAGGCTATATCTGTGCATATTTTAACATAATATTTATTCATTTATATATATGCATATATGTATTCTTTTCATTTTTAATGCTTTCATTTTATTTATATTATAATACAGAACCTATTATTGATTTTTGAAGTTTCTACCTGGGTGCTGAAATTACACTTGTATAAAAACACTTATATAAAATAATTTTGGGAAAATAATAATGTCTCCTAAACAGGGACAAAAGTATAAACATAAGATAAAAACTGTTAAAACCTCACCAAGAATTCTATGTACATTTCCATATAATTATTATTAAGTATGCAGACAGCTAGCCTGTATAATGCATTTGTACACTTTTGGGCTCCATATGGAAAGTCTTTTCAAGGCTTTTTGTATCTACAAACAACATTTCTGTATAGCTCATCATGCATGTAAATAAACCACCCTTACTGTATGTGAGATTGAATAATAAATAGTTTATTCAATTATTAACAGATACAGTGATCATAGAAATAGTTCAGCATTTGTTTGCTTGCTCAAAATATACTCTATAGACAAACCTGTATAATGTCCATTTATTGCTTTTTATAATCTATTTTTCTTCTATTATATCTCACATTTATGATCTAATTATATGTACATACGACTAAGAGACAGAATGCTCCTACCAGACAAGAAGGGATGATGGCATTCTCGCAGAGAAGATCTTGCATTGCTTTTGTTTGGTTGTAGGGACTGTTAACAGAGATGGACCCTATCCCCAGCCTCACTCATTTTAAATCTGAATCCAGTTTTAAAAAAAATCCAATTTTCATGTATTCTGGCATAATTGGGTGTTCAAATAAATAAAAACATTGTATGATGGTAATACATAGTAAGTATTTTTTTAAAGATACTTATAGATAACTTTTTAGTACAACATTTGTGCAATCAAAGCCTCAAAATTAAAATGAAAGGCTTCAGTGAGCTTCTATTTTTAAACGGGGAAGGACGTTCTGCTTCTTGGTGTTTTTGCTATGGGAGATGCCATCAGTGTGACCATGTCTGGAGCATGTGTAAACACACAAATGCACATTACCTTACTCCGTCTCTGCGGGACAGGCCTCAGTAGAGCGTTAAGAGCAGAGCTGTAAGGGGGATACACATAATGCTTGAGTAGAGGGATGCTTGCAGACTGCTTAGTGCTGACCATAATTTTGTTTACCCTCCATCAACATTAAGGAAGTACCTGTCTAGAGGGAAGCATTTAGCCCTACCTAAAGGGATAGTTCAACCAAAAATAAAAATTACCCCATTTACTCACCCTCAAGCCATCCAGGTATTCTCCTTTCAGACAAATACAATAGGCTTTATGCACAGCTGCACTACTTCCTGAACTTCAGCCAGCTCCTTGTTTCCTGTCTTCCATTATTGGGCAAAATTGATTAATTCAGGTGTGTCTGATTATTGTTGCCATGACTACTGAGGTCAAGCACACCTGAATTAATCAATGTGTCCAATAACGGCAGACAGGAAACAAGGACCTGGCTGAAATTCAGGAAGTAGTGAAGCTGTGCTTAAAGGCAATTGGAGTAATATTAAATGTTCTTTATAATACCAGTGAATGGCCATTTCATGTTTTGAAGAGGTTAATAGGCCTTCTGAAGCGAAAAGATGATTTATTGTCAGAAAAATATCACCCAGTTGCAGTAAAAACATGCAACCTTTGAAGAAACCTCAAATAAATGTTATTTTAATGCATTTTAAGATAGACATTTTTAAATATATACATATTGGGCACTTTAATTTACACATGAATTGTTTGTGGTGGTTAACCTGCAATTTACACTTTAAATTCACAAAGAACAATCACACCAAAATAGGGCTGTAACGATATGCAATATAAAAGTGTTGAACATTTGATAAAAAATTTGATCACAATTTATTTTTATTTTTTTCAGTACAAATACATTCTGCTCACTCTAAAACATGGCGAGTTGTAATAAACAGGTTTTGAGTTCTCTGAAGTTCATAAATTTTACAACTGTTTTTCAGGTTTGACTAAATGATTGTTAAATGTAATTAAACCTTTTAATGCCCCCGAGTAATTAGCAAATCAGATCAATCTATTCTCTAGCAAAAATATGTTGAAGACTAAAAGGGCCAGTAATATACACACATGTATAATTTTAATTTTCAATATCATTTTCTGGTTTAATTTAATTCATTATAAAATATGTATAATATTTGCAGACAGCCTGTATTTTGCACTTTTACACGTTGTACTGTTAAAGAAAGACTTCGTTTTTTGTAACTAACAAAACATATAGCCTATAGTAATCCTAAAATAGTTCAGCATTGATTTGTTGAATATTTAATTTTCTGTCTTTGAGCTTGCTCACAATATATTATCCTAACAAACCTGTATAATGTCCAATAGCTGCTATTTGTAATGTATTTTATTTAATCTAAGAGGGATGACAACATTATAGCCGCAAAGATGGTCTTACATTTCTGTTGCTTGGTTTGGTTAGTTTGGTTATGGATTCTACAAATGTTGGCCCAGCTAGCCCACTCATTTAAATCTGAATGCATCAGAGAGTTTCATCATTTCAACAACAAATAGTCTATTAAATTTTTACAGCGTATTGCAAGACAAGAAAGAGGCATTCACATTTACATGGACCACGCAGTGTGGTCAGTACGGGCCTTTCTCCTCATCTCCTGTTACTTTAATCCCATTCCCATCACACACACGTGCACTCTTTTAAAATGTGCAAGAATGCTGCTTAACTGCATGATCACATGAAGCGCTTTCTCAGAAAAAAAGTGACCAGAAAGCAGGGTTTTGTAAAATGGAAGCTGCATGGGTTCTATTTTATTCCTATTAAACTTTTCACTCATTTTACAAAATGACTAATTTATTGAAAAAAATGGTATCCTACATGCCACATCCAACATGCCATTCCTCCCACCCAATGGCATGTAGGATATCCATGTGGTTTTGTCTGCCTCTGTTTAACATCTATATAAGTTCAGGAGCAGTGTGTGTGGAATCTGCAGCTGGAGCAGAAGCAAGGTCGATATTCACAGTAGAAAGACAACACGTTTGTGTAAGAGGTCTGTTGTGTCCTGCAAACTTTTGAAAATATTCGTCATCAACAGATGGAAAAAGATTGCATCAAACTGCATTGATCTTTAGTAGGCTATATTGAAATAAGTCTTGTTTCAATGCTTCTTGTATTTCAGCTTATGGCGGCGCCCAATGGCACAGCTGGGGATGTGTCTTTCACTTATCAGCAGATCTTTAATCAAGACATGGATGCTGGGCTCAGTACTAAAACTGCAGTGGCTGTGTTAACATCTCTGTTCTTCATTTTTGTAAACTGTGTGATGCTCTTTGCTCTAGGAAGCAAGCGTGTGTTCCATGAGACGGCACGCTATATACTTTTTGGCCACATGCTTATGAATGACTCTGTGCTTTTGCTGGTCTCAATCTTATTGTATACACTGGCTCAGTGTTTCCTTCCAATACCCAAATCCATATGCACTCTGTTAGTGTTTATCTCCCACTGCACTTTCCGTAATGCTCCTCTGACTCTCGCACTGATGTCTCTGGAGCGGTACGTGGCGATCTGCTTCCCTCTGAGACACTGCAACATCGCCACACCAAAAAGGACTGGAATCGCCATAGGAATCATCTGGTTCCTTAGTTCTATAAATATTATAACTGACATTATTTTTGTTTTAACTGTCAACCCCAGTCATTTAGTCGGTATTTTATTTTGTACATTAGAAAAATTGTTTCTATTCAAATGGCAGCTGGATAAATATCAAGCGTTTGATGTTCTTTATTTTGTGTCGGTTGCAGTGATCATCATTTTCACATACATTAGCATTATGATCACTGCTCGGTCTGTCTCCTCTGATAAAGATTCAGCTAAAAAAGCTCTCAGAACGGTGCTGTTGCACTTGATTCAGCTGGGACTGTGTCTCACCTCTTTCCTGTATATTACAATAGAAAGAACACTGTACATAATGACTGGAACCAACTCTTCTCTCTTCATAAATCTCAGATATCTCAATTTTCTTATTATTCTCATTCTACCACGTTGCCTGAGTCCTCTGATCTATGGTATGAGAGATGAAGCAGTGTGGCCCTTGTTCAAATATTTTTTCTGCTATCGTTCAGGAAAAGTAAAGCCCTCTGTTAATGTACATTAATGTTTTTTTTTTTTGACAAATGGTTATATCCCAAAAGATATTGTGGCTCACGTGTTGCAAACACCTAAACTTGTTCATCAAACTCTCAGATGAAATTATCTGCCAAAATATATTTAAGACTGTTATCTGGGGGAGTAATAGGCTGTCTCTGTGCATATTTTAACATAATCTGTATTCATACTATATATTAATTAGTATCCTTTTCATTTTATTTATATTATAATATAGAAGCTATTATTCACAAGTTTCTACCTGGGTTCTGAAATTACACTTGTATAAAAATAATTATATAAAATTAATTTTGGGAAAATAATAATGTCTCCTAACCTAACCAGGACAAAAGTATAAACATAAGATAAAAACTGTTAAAACCTCACCAAGAATTCTATGTACGTTTCCATATAATTATAATTAATTATGCAGACAGCTAGCCTGTATAATGCATTTGTACACTTTTGGACTGTTATAGAAAGTCTTTTCAAGGCTTTTTGTATCTACAAACAACATTTATGTATAGCTCATTATGCATGTAAATAAACCACCCTTACTGTATGTGAGATTGTGTAATAAATAGTTTATTCATTTATTAATAGATACAGTGATCATAGAAATAGTTCAGCATTAATTTGTTTGCTTGCTCATACTCTATGAACAAACCTGTATAATGTCAATTTATTTCTCTTTATAATGTTTTTTTTTTTCTATTATATCTCACATTTATGATCTAATTATATGTACATACGACTAAGAGACAGAATGCTCCTACCAGACAAGAAGGGATGACGGCATTACAGCAGAGAAGGTCTTACATTGATTTAGGGACTGTTAACAGAGATGGACCATACATCCCCAGTCTCACTCATTTTAAATCTGAATTTTCATGTATTCTGGCATAATTGGGTGTTTAAATAAACAAAAACATTTTATGACGGAATAATAGCCTACATAGTAAGTATAATTTTTTTAAGATACGTATAGATAAATAACTTTTTAGTACAACATTTGTGCAGCCTCAAAATTAAAGGCTTCAGTGAGCTTCTATTTTTAAACGGGGAATAGCCATTTTATGTTTTGAAGAGGTTAATAAAGGCCTTCTGAAGCGAAAAGATGATTTAGTGTAAGAAAAATATCTCCCAGTTACTGTAAAAAAAAACATGCTACCTTGAAGAAACCTCAAATAAATGCTATTTTAATGCATTTTAAGATAGAATTTTTTATATTGGGCACTTTAATTTACACATGAATTGGTTGTGGTAACCTGCAATTTACACTTTAAATTCATAAAATTTGAAGAACAATCACACCAAAATAGGGCTGTAACGATATACAATATAAAAGCGAAATCGCGATACTCAGCGTGAGAAGGCAGAATTGCGACACACCCCTTCCACCTCCCGGAGTTATCCTTCCCGTCCAGATCCATTTCTGTATCACATCTTTAAACTATTATTTGAAGTTAACATTATAAAATACCAGTGTTGTAGTCGAGACCACCTCACTCGAGTCCGAGTCGACACCGAGACCAGAGAGAGTCGAGTCTGAGTCAAGACCGAGTCCATAGAGAGTCGAGTCGGAGTCGAGACCGAGACCAGTGGGTTGATTACCTAATTTACTTTAGAGAAATACTTTTTTTTTTCACTGAATTTACTTAGAGTTTAAAAAATATGATCAGTTTAGGGTAAAAAGGCCACATAGTAGGTGGTGTTAAGTAATTTTATTACAATTTGTCATGCGCAGTTGCGCACTAGAAAATCACCAATCACTGCGTGTCAATCAATTTGAAGAAATATTTTATTAACATACATTAATAATCATAAAAAATATTTTTAATTGAACTGGAGTACGTGGACTCGGGAATAATTCCGAGTCCTAAAAAAAAATGTTCGAGTACGAGTCAATTCCGAGTCCAAATGGACACGAGTCCATGACAAGACCAAGACCATTAAAATATGGTCTCGAGACCGAGTCCGAGACGAGACTAACATGCCGTAAGTTCTCGGCCAGATCCGCACTGCCCTACAAAGCAAAAAGGCAGTAACTACGCAGAGTGCAGAACTGAGAAAAATGACTTTTGCTAGGGCTTTTTCCAGTTACTGTACAAACGACTACCATTTTTATCTAAAACGACACGCATTTAGGATAAGATGTTTTGTCATATAACAAAGGATGCCTTGAATGTCATGAAAATTGTAATAATTAATGCTTTACCAAAACTGCAGTTACTGCCTTTTGCTTTGTAGGGCAGCGCACAACGGACCTGGGCCGGTGTCTTTTGGCACAACGGGCCAATACCGACACGGCTCACTTTTTTCCTCATCTGGACCAGAACTGGGCCCGCTCTGGATTCCATGATGTGGATTTTGCCCAAATGTGGGCCAGATCTGGATATTCCATATCTAGAATTTAAAGAATCTTCTCACATCATCTAATATAGTCTTATGCCACTGATATTTTTTTCTGTTAGGTTTCAACATGAAATGCTTAGGCAATAAAAAGTTGAAAGTACTACTTTAGAAGTTTACACTAAGATGTACTTTACACTAAAACACCATCTGTGTTAGCACTAATTCACAGCCAGTATAGGCTACTTCACAATAATCATGCGTTTAAAAAAATATATTGCACAGTAAATTTTACATATTCAAAGGCTTTCTTTTATCCATCTTTGAATGCTACACAAAGGCTACCCCCCCCCTCCCCCCTCCCAAGACACCATACCCATGCATACCCATGTGGTTTAATCTGCGATGCTTCAACATCTATAAAATGATGGACATAACGTTAATTGTTTGTGGAATCTGCAGCTTTAGCAGATGAAAGGATGACGCCTCACTGAAAGGCAACACGTCTGTGTCTAAGGTAGTCTATGTTGCAAACTTTTTAAAATTTCACTTTTTAAAGATGCGACTTAAAGTAAATAGCTATTAATGTAATTGAATGATTTACACTGTAAACTTGCTCTAATGAATCTAATTGTTCTTTTTGTTGTTGTTGTCTTTAAGCTATTATGGCGGCGTCCAATGGCACAGGAGATGTTTCATTCATTTATCAGCAAATCTTCAAGGTAGACTTGGATGCTGGGCCCAGTACAAAAATTTCAGTGATTTTGTTCGTATCCGTGTTCTTCTTTTTTGTAAACTGTGTGATGCTCTTTGCTCTAGGAAGCAAGCGTGTGTTCCATGAGACGCCGCGCTATATACTTTTTGGCCACATGCTTTTGAATGACTCTGTGCTTTTGCTGCTCACAACTACCATGTACACAATGGGATCATTTTACCTTCAAGTAACTAGAATCGTCTGCACTCTGTTAGTGTTTATCTCCTACTGCTCTTTCCGTAACGCTCCTCTGACTCTCGCACTGATGTCTCTGGAGCGGTACGTGGCGATCTGCTTCCCTCTGAGACACTGCAACATCGCCACACCAAAAAGGACTGGAATCGCCATAGGAATCATCTGGTTCCTTAGTTCTATAAATATTATAACAGACATTATTTTTGTTTTAATTGTCAGTCCCAGTTTATTTCTAGATGTTTTATTTTGCACACAAGAGAAATTGTTTCTATTCAAATGGCAGCTGGATAAAACTCAAGGGTTTGATGTTCTTTATTTTGTGTCTGTTGCAGTGATCATCATTTTCACATACATTAGCATTATGATCACTGCTCGGTCTGTTTCCTCTGATAAAGATTCAGCTAAAAAAGCCCTCAGAACGGTGCTGTTGCACTTGATTCAGCTGGGACTGTGTCTCACCTCTTTCCTCTATGCCACGATAAACAAAGCACTGAACACGGTGACTGACAGCCCTTCTCTCTTCATAAATCTCAGATATATAAATTTTCTTATTGTTCTTATGCTGCCTCGTTGCCTGAGTCCTCTGATCTATGGGATGAGAGATGAAGCAGTGTGGCCCTTGTTCAAATATTATTTCTGCTATCGTTCAGGAAAAGTTAGGCCCTCTGTTAATGTACATTAATTGTATGTTACAAAAGATAATTTGAAAAAAAGTTAACGTGCAATAATAATTTCAGCTTTCAAGTAAATGTTTAATTATGATAAATGCCATATTTAAAAATGTTTGTCTGAGAAGGTCAAGGAAACCATATACTTTTACATTAAATTACAAAAAAAATTCTATTCTAATATAGAAGATGATTTTAAGTGGAATTTACATCTTACTGCTTAAACAAAGCATTCTCTGTCAATTGTTATCAAGCTCTTAAAAGAATCTTTCGTCATATATGCAGACAGCTTGTATTATGCACATACACTTTGGACTGTTCAATGTGTGTGAAATAAAGCAATGTATTAAATTATTAACAGTATATTGTAGTTTGTCTTACCGCAATATGAGTTTATCTTTAGTATAAGCTTATATTGATTCTATCAATAAACTTATGAATTTGATTATGGCTGTTTAATTTATGCTTACATATGAAACTAATACTGCAAAATATTAATGGCAGAATTTGTAACTCAATAAGCTAAACTACTCATTAAAAGAATTGTCTCATACCTTTTTTTTCTGGGAATCAGGAACCCATTTAATTCACTAAAAAGAAATTACATTCAGTGACAAAAGGCATAGAATAAAAGGTTGATTTTTACACCCTGTGAAAATCAATATTTATTCCAAGCCCTTGAATGAATGAGCAGACTGCGGAAATCTCTTTTTATTTTTTCCTTGAAATCGGCAACCGACCAACACTTTCACCACAGTATGATGCAATCATCCTAATTACAACAATAAACAAGCAAGGCATCAGAGGAAATGCAAAAGAAATCAGTTAAGGGGCAAATAAAAATGTAAATATACATAACGATTTTAAATTAAAGTATTATTGTATTATTATTTCCTGCCAATGTAGCCATGAGAACTTTAATGACTACAGCAAACATACATAAAGTCATACAAAACTGAATATAATTTAAGAATGAGTTCGCAGTAAATGAGTCATCATGATTTTGGTTGTATTTTAATCCCCAATGAGAGCAGAGAGGGATGACAGCGCTGGATGAAGACTACGAGTGGAGGTTACACATCGTCTGTTAAAGCAAACACCACACACGGAAGCCGAAAAAGAGCAAGATTAGAAACCAAATTAAATATATGAATTATACGATTCACTCAACTTTTGACTTCTTACCAGGGGAAATCCTCTTTGAATTCAGTGAACTTGTTACGGACCATGAATGTGGCTAGAGCATCAGCTACCTGCAAAAAGGCATATTATAGTTCAGAAGAAACCAAATCAGTAAAACACTACACCTGTAACTAATATGTCCAAGGACTGTGACCCTATGATACAAACAGACGTACTTTTTCCGGGGCATCTTCATGAACAGCATGGCCACATTGTGGTAGAACCTGCATCTGAAACTTTCCTGTGATAATAATTAAAGAAGAGATGAAGGACCTTCTGGCCACAGCAACATGCCTGATGAACAGAAATATCAATGCCTTACCTTGCATTTGCCCAATGGTAAGATCTTTATCAAGCCTGTCAACACCTGTGGGAAACACATTATTACCCATTAAAGTCAACATGTCATTGTAATTTTTTTTTATAGAATATTGCAGTATTTTTTTAATAAAATGATTTATCTATGTATATTATTTTTTTATTTTCATGTGCCCCCCTAACCTTTAATGAAAACAACTCCCCCTCCCTTCTCTGATGACGTGTTTACTGGAATAAGGGTGAGGCAACCTGCCACTCACATGACACCACAGCAATAGCCAACGACCCAATCAATTCCCAATAAACAAAACCAAGTCCCGCCATACAATTTTTTCTTGTTCAAGATGCAGTTTTACCAGGATATACGTCACAATAGAGAAGAAAAGACTATCGCGACTTCTTTTTCATGACGACTTTAAAGGGATAGTTCACTTTGAAATTAATTTTTGATATGTTTTAGCTTACCTCAAGGGCATCTAAGCTGTAGGTGTCTTTGTTTCCACAATTTTGATATTTTTAGGTCAAACCGTTCTTGTCTGTCAGTCATATAATGCAGGTCTATGGGGTCCACCTCAAAGAGCATGCACAGAGAAGTCAAAATTAAACATGATTTAATGACTCATAAATGTAAGCACACATTGATGGCCTAAGACACGAAACGAGCATTTGTGTGAGAAAACGAACAGTATTTACATAGTTTTTACCTCTTGTAACTACAGCCACGTCCAAGTGATCTGAAGGCACGGGCGCTTCGTTCTGCGCAAGCCCCGGAAAGCGCCAGAAGTGATCTCTCGCGTGGTTGCGAAAAAAATCAACGTAGTCTGTTGATATATCGAAATTGTCTTCTATTGCGATTTCCTGTATATCTAAATATATTTAGATCTTCACAGTGAAAGGTCAAAGTTCCAAAATCTCTGTGTAAAGTATGAGTGACGTACACGCGCGGGAGATCACTTCCGCCGCTTTCCTGCATGCTTGCGCAGACAGAAGCGCCCTCGCCCTCAGAGTACTTGGACGTGACTGTGATTACAAGAGGTAAAAACGATATACGTTTTCTCACACAAACTGCTCGTTTCGTGTCTTAGGCCATCAATGTGTACTTATATTTACGAGTCATTAAATCATGTTTAATTTGGACTTCTCTGTGCATGCTCTTTGAGGTGGACCTCCATTATATGACTGACAGACAAGAACAGTTTGACCTAAAAATATCAAAATTGAAAATACAGTGGATATAAAGACACCTACATATTTGATGCCCTTGAGGTAAGCTAAAACATATCAAAAATTAATTTCAAAGTGAACTATCCCTTTAAGAGTTTTAAAATACATGTCTATGCCTTACCAGCCAGCAGGAGGAGTTTTGGCACAGAGCAGCTGAGAAAGAGAGAAGACAATCCTTTAAACCAGCCTTCCCAGTACTTCTCTGTCTTTGAGAGTTCAACACGCCATGTGTACAGACATTCTTTCTTTATCTGCCAAATGGAAACATCATCAATCAATCATTTGCACATAAAATAATGTGATGTTTGATGTTCATTGTGAGACGTAAATAAGGGATAATGTACACTGCCATTCAAAGGTTTTGGGTATTCAAGTTTATTTGAGTATGTATGTTGAGTTTTCTCTATACTTTGTTTCTTATACACACCAAAACTGCATTTATTTGATCAGAAATACAGTAAAACAGTAATATTGTGAAATATTTTATATTCATATTTTAATATATTTTAAATTGTAATTTATTCCTGTAGGTAGAGCTGAATTTTCATCATCATTACTCCAGTCTTTAGCATCACATGATTCTTTAGAAATCATCCTTATATAATTTTGATTAATTTAATGCATGCTTGCTAAATAAAAGTATTAATTTCTTAAAAAAAAAAAAACATCTAATGACCCATAACTTTTGAACTGTAGTTGAAAGTCTGTGAGTTCCTGTTGCAAAATAAGCCCTGAAAGGGTGATAAGATCAGAATTGAAACATTTACTACCTCTTGGTCATCCTCCTTCTTTCTTTTATGGTTGGATTCTCCTCCTTCTTCGTCTTCCTCTTCTTCTTCAATAATACCTTCACTGATGCTCTTGGAAACCCCTGGACTACTCAATGGCTCCTCACATCTAAACATCCAAACACATCTGATCACAACAATATATTCAATAGCTAAATATGCCAACAAATGTACAATTCCTGGAGCTAGTTAAAGGGACAATTCACACAAACATGTAAATTCTGCCATCATTTACTCACACTCAAGTTTTTCCAAACCTGTATGAGTTTCTTTCTTCTGCTGAACACAAAATAAGATATTTTAAAGAATGTTGGTAACTTAAGAGATAGAAGATGATGACAGAATTTACATTTTTAAAGGAGCCATATTAGGGAAAACTTACTTTTTCACCTGTCCAACCATGGACACTCGTGCAGACTCAATATTTCTGATCTGACCGCTTTTCACACTGTTAAGAAAAAAAAAAAGTTCCCAGTTGGGATACATGAGGCACTGACCTCTATAATGTTTAGCAAACTAAAATAACTGTATTCTAAATAAACTAGATAAACAATCTGGGGTGCATTTCTCAAAATCCTTATTAGCCAAGTAGATCATAGTAGAGACCATTGGTGGCAATGTTTTTGGAAAATGCGGATCAGATAATTTACAGTTTAGCCCTGGCTTTCAATTATGCTGTAATGTTGAATGGCTTAATAACTTATTTTATCCCCAGAAAATGAAATCCATGTAATAGAGGCATCAATATCAGAGACCTTCAATCATTGTACTTATTTAAAAAAATCCTTTAAACAAATAATTAAAATATAAAATATTCAAAACACTGTTTTTATGTTGTTTTCAAACTAATGGCTCTTTCAGACTGCACGATTTTCAAAGTAGTCAGGTCGCTGCTCTTTTCACACTGCATGACTATCTCGGCCAGCATTCAGTCGCTGCTGTGTTCACACTGGACGATGGATCGGCGACAGAAGGTTTCACACTGCATGACTTTAGAAAAATCGCTGACAGACTCTGTCTAGCACGCTGCACGCAAACTACATTTCACAACAAACACGCGTGAGAAATGAAAAGGAAACAACGCGCGACACCACACGTGCAAGACCGGAGTTCTCACGTGAGACTTTTTTTTTCGACCCGGTTGTGGTACAGCTGGTGAAACAGACACGAGTGCTCCTGCCAAATTTCTACTAATTTTTCTTCCATTTATTGTGTCCAAATAGACCGAGAAGAAGCTTTTTTTGTTGAAACAATGCCATATCATGTTGATATGTGATCTATAACTCCTCCCCGAACTCCCTGCTGCTCTGATTTTGCTCTCTCACTGGCTGTCGGTGATCGCCGATGTAGTTTTCAGTCAAAACACTTTTCACACAGCAGGATTTTGAATCGCCGACAGGTCCAGATATTTAGCATGCCAAATATCTCACGGGCGTCGGCGACTCGTCGGTGATTCTCTCAGTTCGCGTCTTTGTTCATTCACACTGCGTGATTGTCACTCGCGTGAACGAGCGCCGATTTGCCTGTGATTTCGGGCATTTGTCGGCGATTTCTCAAAACCTGTCGGCGAGCCAAAATCGTGGCTAAAATCATGCAGTCTGAACTAGGCATAACTTGGAGATTCCTTGTGAAAATGACAAATTTTTAATGTTTGGTGCGATTAATAACAGAAATCTGTGCCATTAATCGATCGATTTTTATATATATTCCAGCACTAGATATTATTTTCCACAATATACTCAAAACTATATACCTCCATTCGATTGCGTTCTCAACAGATTTAAACGTTTTTGGTCGTCCTCTCAGAAAGTTTTGCATGCTGTTCAAGGCATCCATTGCTGTACCTGAAGAATGAACAAACTAGCATTAATGCATACATAACACAAAGTCACCAATAATCAAACTGTATTGAAATCGATGACAAAATTTACAGTGGTTCCATAATGATTTTTGTAAATACATTAATAACTGCAACTCTGAGAGTATGCACTTGTAAATAAATATTTAAATTTTTCTCTTGTCATGAACTGTTTTTGCTTGTGTAAATTATGAAAAAAGGTAAAATAGGAATGAGGGGTGAAAACTTACCTTCCACAACATCAATAACACAAAGGCCAAGCAGTGATGGGACATGATTGGATGCAGCCGTGTGAACTGCTATTGCTCCGCCCATGCTGTGACCAATAATCATGATCGGAGGAGGGTTTTCACCATAAAGTGCCTCCACCACTTTTCCAATATCCCTGAGAGAAAGCAACATTTCAAAATTTGAAGAAACATTTCTAAAGAGTATGTTTACACGACAACGATGTACTAAAAACAGAAAGGTTTTTTAGGTCCCTTCCGCACCTATAGACTGAACATGCAATACACGTTAGCATAATGTCACCGTTTCCACAAATTTGCATTTTTGTGGTTTTTGTTGAAAAAACTTCTTTGAAACCTGTTTTGTGTTTGCGTTTTCAGGCCCCCAAAACACCGTTGTCATGTAAATGAAATGAACATACAATTTTTTACCGTTTTAAGGCAATATAAGCGGCCCCTGTACAGACATTGAAATAAGAGAAATGAACACGTACTCACTTGGCCATTGTTTCAGCAGAGAGGTCATCAGGGTTCTTTACTTTAGAATCACCTAAATTTGATGAGAAATTGTGACATTTGAAAACAGGTGGATTAAATCATATATTTGTGTTAATTAAATGTATTGTTATTGACCTACGTCATTTTAAAATCAATGGTTTGTTATCAGCTTATTAACTAAATAAAGTACGTTTTCTAAAATAAGAGTTTGAAATCCATTACCATGTCCTCTGAGGTCCATAGCTGCAACCCTGCAGTTAATCCTACTGCATATAACAGACTGTAAATACAAACATCAAATAATATCATTTATAATATTAGCAAATATTTGAATTAAATATTTTTGCTTCATATTTTTGTGTAATGTGCTAAAAAAAATCCAGGATTATTTTTTGTTTTGTAACAATATAGTATTGAACAAGGTACCAACAGGCCTAATTGTTCATGTAGGCCTATGTATATTTATTTATAAGTAAATAAATATACATATTTACTACACATACTGTTACACATGCCGTTTATTATTAGAGGACAAAACAGAGGACCTTTTTTCAACATCTGTCTCTTTATGATGTACATGATGTATCATAAAAACACAGACCTAAAACAAAGTGACATAGTGAGGTACGGCTTTAAGACACTCACAGTGAACACAGCCCAGGACAGTGCAGAGTGACCTCCTCCATGAAGGAGCAACAGGACAGGACCATCAGAGCCACTGCTGTAAATTCTGAATGTGTACAAAGGAGTCAAGGAATGTTTTACTCAATAGAATGTATTATATTACATGAGGTACATAAAGGGCAATATTTTAACATTTTCCAAGAGTCTCCTCAACAATTAAGCAAAGGATATGTCTTTGCTGTTGTCATTTTCCACCTCCACATCCTCCATGGTTTCGAAGTACTGACTCCAGGGCAGAGGAGTAAAATCTCGTTTTCTTCCCGGTCTGCATAGAGAGAGGGAGAACAAAATAAAGTCATTTCTTATATCCTTGTGGGGTCAAAGAAACAGGTTAAATGACTGACCAAATGGATATAGATGTCAAGGAGAGAGGATGAACATGAATCAGAAGACACACCAGATAGTGATGGGAATTCAGTCTCATTTAAGCAAATCGGTTCTTTCGAACTCTTTCGCACCATTACATAATGATAAGCTGCCATTTAAAGTCATCATAAAACAGAAGATTTAATTCATTTGATTGTATATCCATGTGAAATGGCTTTTCGAACTAGAAAAAATGTATGGCGACTGGCGAGACTTCATTTTGTCCCTCGGGAATTGATTGGATCTTTGTGGTTTGCTATTGCTGTGATGTCATGCGAGTGACAGGTTGACTCACGGCAGTAAACACATCATCAAAGAAGAGAAGATATGACGTTGCAAGAGGAAGGGGAAGTTATTTTGATTAAAGATTACAAGGGCAATTCAATAAAAAGAAAAAAATCTGACGTGCACTGATAAATCATTTATAATAAATACTGCAATATTCCATACAAAAAATAAAAAATAAAAAATAGGAAATGTCAATTTTGATTTCATGGTGACCAACTCTGTTTTGTAAGTGGTTTGAAAAAGGATCATACACTCCTGGGCAAAAAATGGATTATTGGTTAGGAAATTAGATAAATTTAACCAAATGCACACACACATACACACACAAAAACATTGCTGTGTAAGAAAAACATTAAAGACAGAATGAAGCTTTGGGAGAATATTTGAAGTTGTGTGTGGAGTGATGAATCACAATGTAACAAGATTTGCACGATGATGCTCTTCTAAAATCTGCTGAGAAATATAATAATAAGTGCATTTGTAGCACAGTGGAGCATGGAGGAGGAGTTTCATAGTGTGGAGAGCCTTTTTACTTGTTGCTGTTATGTGTGAGCTACATTACTATAAAAAGTAACCAAATGTCGTACAGGAGGATATTGAAGAAAGATTTGCTTCCCACAAATGAAAAGATGTTATCTAAAGAGGAATTATCAGATGTTTTTTTTTTTTCTCAACATGACAATGCACCTGCCCAAACTGCAAAGACAACCAAGAAGTGGCTTGAGAACAAGTCCATCAGGGTCATGTTTTGGCCCTGATCAGAGTCAGATTTTGAACGCTACAGAGTTGGTCTCACTTTAAACACAAATGAACTGGGACACATTTTTCAACAACTCGTGAACTGCTAGAAGTCATTAAACACTATGTCTACAGTATCTTGTGCAATTCTTGCTAATTTCCAGAGCAGTGATTAGTGATTAGACCATTAAAAGTCCAATAAAGATGTTGCCATTTTTGTCTGGGCCTGGGTTTTTTTTTTTCTTACCGAGGAGTGTACAATCAAATAGTAAATACATGTCTTAATTCATTTTATTTTGTATCATCTGAAGAAACTTTCTTATCGCCCTCTCATTTGACACGGTCAGAAACAGACGGTTGTTGCGTTGTTGTTGATTTGAGAACCGCTTGAGCCTATTAAATCTCGTTCAATAGCTTTATTGAAAGATTCAGTCATCGCTAACGAATTGAGTCGTGATCACGGTAGCTAACAGTTAGATGAGACACAGAACGCGAGGGACCGCAGACAGCTGAACAGAGAAGCAAAATCTAATCTTGAATGGATTTTTAGACTTGTTTATTATTACGTGCGACAAATATTGAAACAGTTAAACACATATTAGACAGTTATGACTCGTCGTGACAGCTATCAGCTATCAACGATAGTGTTGTTAAAACACCTTGTATGTAACTTACCGATGTGCAAATGATTCAATGAATGATATGATGAAGTGTGTAAACTCACCCCATTCTTATTTTAGATCCAGACTGCAAACCTGCCATTGGGGGTTTGGAGGCTAGCAAATTCAATTGCAACTGTTTCTCCATGGTGCGAGGAAAACAAAACCCTTTGAGCACGTAAAGCGTCTAGCCCCCTTTGCACCATACGATCCTCTTCAATAAACAGTAACGTTACAGTTGTACAATTTACACATTCACGATAAATCAGACTAGTTCAGCAGACAGGTAAAGAAATCTATGTTCACACAAGTAGTCTCCGCCCACCAGTATTTTTGCCCCGAGGGCATTATGGGAAATGTAGTCATGCTATTGGTTCTAAACACCAGCTCTGACGTCAAGGCCCATGGAAAGAACTACAACTAACAGAACACCAGTTTTGGTTCCTTTGCACGTAAACCACCCTGGAAAAATATGACGTAATGCAATACAAAGGATGATGGATTCCCCCATCATTTGGTTTAGTAAATATTTAAGTAATATAAAATACAAATATAAAATCAATATTTAGAAAACAGTCAAGTTTGTAAGTTTCTGTAAAGCCTCGACTCATCTGCTTTCTGTTGTAGCCATTATTTTCACTGAAATAATATTTTTTTTACCCCTGTATTTACCCTGAACTTATATAAATGAACAGATAAAATGTTTTTATTTATTATTATTATTTCTTGTTAGCTGTCTCTCTCACTCTCTCCATGTGTAGTAGAATTTATATATTTTATAATAAAAATTTATAAAATTATAATCATAAGTTTAATGTATTATTGTTCATTTTTTGTTGTTCCTGTAAAATCACAATTAAGTATGTGTTGTGAGTTTGTCACATGTGCTATTAGCCACCATGCCAAATTTGAATAATAAAAAAGCCAGCAAGTAGTAGATAAAATAAGCTATCAAAATCTTGAAATATATTTCTAACATTTATAATGCATTTAGAATTTATTTTTATTTTTTTTAATTGCCTTTACAGGGACTTTAATCCTACACTTAAAGCACTGGATTGTACATGCATTTGTTGAATATTGCATCCATTGTGTAATGGTTGTTTTGTAATATATGGAAAGAAGATGCAAATTCAAATGCAATCTACAGTAAATGTAAAACATGATTTGGACCAAGGATAATGAAAACTTACCATTGACTTGCATAGTAGAAAAATAAAATGCAATGGAAGTCAATGGTGCCAAACAACTGCTTGGTTCCAAACATTCTTCAAAATATCTTCCTTTGTGTTCAGCAGAAGAAAAAAACTCATTCAGGTTTGCAACAACTTGAGGGTGAGTAAATGATGACAGAATTTTCATTTCAGGGTGGAGTGTCCCTTTAAATGTTTTCATTGGAGTGCATAAGAGAGAAGACAAAAAAAAAAGAGATTTGATATTTTTCTCCTTAATTGCTTTAATAGATGATTATCACTCTCATTAACAGAAGTTTCTTTTCAGGGCAGGATCACTGGTACATGGTGAAATAAAATAAAATAAATAATATCAACGAAGCACCATCATATGGATAAAAGGCATGGATCTAAGTGGCCTACATTCAGTAAAAACTTCTTAAGAAATGCAAAAACACTAAGCAGGGAAACCTACTTTGGACCTAGTTTGTGCTAATTATAAAAAATTAAACATTCACAGTTCAGAAAAAATGAAAATCGCCACAGCAAGGACTTTTTTTCCCTTTTAAGACATATTTAGGGGCTTCAATAGACTATTTGGTGAAATCTCTGCCAATAAACTCCCTTTGAGGAATCTTAATTGAAAATCACACTCAAGCCACCAGTTAAAAAAGGATGCAAAAAATTCAAACACAGAGGTCAACAAAAAGAAAAAAATATGGAGCTACAGTAAAACACAAAGAGCATTGTCAAATCTGAATCATAAGAGTAAATCCTCAAAGGCAGGAGTCAGAAATGTGTCTGGATGCTTCGCCACCCTCCAGGCTTCAGTATCATCAGCAGTGTCACTCACACACCACAGCGCACCCTGGAGGGCCCCACGCAAACAACATCAAACAAACAATAACAACCATCCCAGTCAAATTTTAAACAGAAAAATGCAAATACCAATGTCAAAAAAAAAAAAAGGAAAAAAAAAAAAAGAGGAAGGCGGTTCATTTTTGGACGTGAGGGGAGAGTAGAAACAGAAACAGTGCTTGGAGAGATTTGTGCACGTCTCTCCTCAGTGCATCAGAGGTGAGGGAGAAGTCTTCACATTCCGGCAGGACTTTCGAGGAGAGAGTGTGGAGGAGGAAGAGACATTACTTCTTCCAGATGGTGTAAAACACCCATCTGAGTTAGCTTGTTAAGGAACTGACCGTTCATGTGACAAAAGCTGTGTTTTCTTGACAATAATGCCAAATTTCAGCGGACAATAGAAAAGTATGGTTAAAAGGTTATATATTACTTTGTGGTTAAAAGGTTATATATTATTAATACACACACAAACAAATGTTCAAAGGGTGTGAATCTTAACTAGTCTCACAAACGTCAACGATTTGATTCAATATGCATGATGCATCATGATGTGTTGCTACCTCAATTTACAATATTACACATGGCTACATTTTCGTCAATGAATAGAAGCAGTCAGATATATGAACTCCCTGAATGTAGCAAACATAAAAAAAACTGAAGTCTGAACATAGCACACAACAGGAGCATTTTATAAACACTAGAAAATACTAAAAGCACATAAAACTGTCAAGTAGCGTTCTTTAAGTTGCAATGACTCTTTCACACAAACTAACACATGCTGTAAATATTAAAACCGTGGTTTAAAAAAAAACAAAAAAACTTTTGTTTGGGTCCACATTGTGGAAACAATTAATTTAAACACCCCTAATACATACATACACACACACTGTTTATGTTCACTTAAAGGTGCAATGTGTAAAAAAGATGAGTATCTATTAACAGAAATGCAATATGACATCCATAACTATGTTTTCAGTGGTGTATAAAGAACTTACTTAATTAACCGTAATGTTTTTATTACCTTAGAATGAGACATTAATAGCTCCATAACCGCGGGAATCCCCTTCTATGAAGGTCGCCATGTTGTGACGTCATATTCCTACCGTAGCCGAACGCGAACAAACAGCGCATCAGAACGCGTTTCATCACTACCTTGAAAGAGAAGTAGCGGAAAGCTGGAAGCTAGCCTTACACTCCGTGAGTAGTGACTTTTCCCTTGTGAGTGGTGTAAAATATGTAGTTGGGATTGTTTCATGTAACTTAGTTCTCCCTCGCTGTGTTATGGGTTTGTTATGTTGGGGATAGTGCTGTTACGTTTGTGAGACAGCTGATGATTAGTATTTATGTCATTGACCGTAAAACAGTACGTTACAGGAATCACTAACCCGTCGATAGAGACTTTTAGATCACTAAAGTCGATCACGAAGAGTTTTCAAAATCAGAGAAAAAAGCCTATTGTGTGTAGTAAATAGTATCTATGGGATGCGGAGATGACATGATTGTAACAGCGCGCGCACTTCCGACCTTTGGACTCATGCGATGCGGACGCGTCCCAGCTCAGCCACAGCAACAGCTCATATTAGCCAGCTAAACTATTACTACCCTGTTAGAAAAAATATATAGCTGCTCCCTCGCTGTATTATGGGTTTGCTACAGTATGTGGGGATAAATGTGCTGCTGGTTACGTTTGTGAGACAATCAGCTGATTAATATTATTATATTAAATTATATATTAAAACCCTTGATCCTCACCTGACTATGGCTTTGTAAACAGTATCCATGATGTGGTTTATAATGGACTGTGGTACAGAAACAGTGACAATGTTACACACTCTTGGCTTACTCTGGCTATTCTCTGCTGTCTCAGCCGACGAGATTTTAGCAACCGTAGCTTCTTCGAAAGGGAGGGGTGAGCAGTGGGCTCAGCCCTTAGTGCAAACCTGGTGCAAACTCGCAACCGAACCACCAGATGTCGCTAAAAATCACACATTGCTCCTTTAAGACCTAACCACGTTTTCTAGGATATACACCAAACTGGGCATGTTGACATATTTTTTGTGCGATTTTGTCAGTTGCACCATTGTAAATGTAAAATAGATTTAAAATAGATTGTGTGTCTATATATATATATATATAATCTATATTTAATCACAATCTATTTTAAATCTATTTTACATTTAAAATGGTAAAAAAGATTTTGGATATGTTTGGTTTATATCCTAGAAAACATGGTTCTGTCTTAAGTGAACATATACATGTGTGTTTGTATATATATATATATATTTTACATTTCAGATGACACATTTCACAGACATATTTCCCACACATTATTAACGTATTTTAGCCAGAGGGACTGACCAGGTTATTTAAAAAGGATACAGCTCCATATATGAGGGAACACACACCACCTCTTTGGAAAAGTCCACTTTGCACGAAAGTCTCCCCAAAAGCTTTTCATATTCACTGAGTGCATCAGTCAGATTCGCACAATTACCCTGCAGGCAGAAAATAACAACATTAAAGGATTGAAAGACAGCAAAAAGTCACAGCAATTTTAACTGCATGCCCCCCCTCACCTGCGTGAAATATTTTCCACTAGGCCGCAAAACTCTAATAGAGAGGTCAAGGATGAGTCTTAGAAATTCCCAGGTCGAATCTATAGAACAACACAATACAAATTTAATATTTGTAATATTTGATTTAATATTTGTAAAAAATGTAAGACCCGGACAGAAGTGTAGCCGCATATACTGTATACTAACCCTCCTCCGGTGCAGTGGAAATAGGAACAGCTGTCAAATCATTAATGACGTAATCAAACGTCCTCCCTTGCTCTGCAAACTTTTTAAGTACGGGAACACAGTCTTGAACCAAAATCTGAAAAAAAAAAAAAAAAAAAAAAAAAAAAAAATACATTCATTGTTATCCAGTTGCCCAAGGTTTGGGAAATTTCCTTTGACTACATTGCACTTGTTTCAAAAGCAGGAAAGGGGCCTCTTTGTAACTTATGTTTCACACAATAATATGTTTAGCAACCGATAAACGGTTCGGAGAAAGAGACAAAACAGAACAAACGAACGAGAATGTGTAAGACAGTCTAATATAGACTCTACCATTCAAGAGTTTCAAAAAGAACTTAATACTTTTATTCAGCAGGGACAAAACAAGTGACAGTAGAGACATTTATAATGTGACAACAAAAGATTTCTATTTTAAATAAATGCTGTTCTCTTGAGTTTTCTATTCATCAAAAAATTCTGCCAAAAATATTTGACGGCTTGCATAAAACTTTCAAGCAGCACAGC